CCACTTATTTCGATCCCTGGACAACTCCCTTCGTGGTAAAACTTTTAACGATGACGACGCTGTAAAATCTCACTTAACTCAGTTTTTGGCCGAAAAGGATCAGACTTTCTACGAGCGTGGAATTTTCAAGTTGTCAGAGAGATGGCAAAAGGTCATCGAACAAAATGGAAAGTACATCACAGATTAAACTCCGTTCCAAGTAAAAAAGAAATTTTTTATTTCATTGAACAAATCGGCAATTACTTAGTTGCCAACCCAATATTATTGACTGTCGCAGAGAGTTTCGTTGCAGATAACAACTCGAGGGCAGAGATACGTGCATTGTCGCGTTGCAGGTCAGGAAGTTCGTTCGAACTTGCTTCTAAGTTGACAGTGTTTCATTAAAACACCTGTTCTTCGGTTCGATGCTGATCTAAGGAAACAGCGGACCGGATGTTGACCCGTAATAAAGAAAAACGTGGTAACATGCGTCGACGATTGTTGTCCATTGGAAGATAAGGATCGATCGGTGTTAAAGATAACCATTGAGAAAGTCACTCGCGTTGTTGCAATAAATTTCCTGTTGATCGTAAATGCTTGGTAATAAAAAATGCTTAATAAAATATTATTTATATATATATATATATTTATAATATATATTTATTTATTTATTTATTTACTGAAATTATAGAAAATAGAATTTACTGTATGTGTAATTGTAATTATGACCGTCGATATCTCGATGACAAATAGCATGAATTACTATTAATGACTTCGCGTGACACTTCAGAACAAATACGCTCGAACGTGAATATTGTTTCATAATTTCTCGGAACTTCCTCGTTTGAAACAGGTTTCTAGTAATGTGGAGAATTTCACTATACTATTTTCACTATACTACTCTTCACAATTTTATCCAATAACAAAAATACGAATTCAAATGTGCTGTAACAATGTAATAGGAACGGTTACTGTGAGGTAAATTTTTTATTTCATTGAACAAATCGGCAATTACTTAGTTGCCGACCCAATAGAAAGTTGTTCCAATTATTAATACGCCGCGAACTTTCGTACGATTCGATTCGAACAGCTCGTCGCGAAGAAGCGTTCCCTCGATATCTTCCCATCAAAAAGTCGTTATTTCGCGAAGCGCTGGTTACGCAAAAGCGGCGGAGGCGCGCTTTTTCAACCGATAATATACGACCGGCGTAATAAAACGCGCACGGTCTCGATCCGGTTAACGAATCGCCTGACGATCGAATAACACTGTCCGACAAAATCAAACTTTTTTTCTGGGTTCCTATGAAATTCTTGTAGAGCTTCGCTTCCTGAACAAGAATCCGAAAACCGAATTGCTCCATCACCCTCAGTTTTTTAACTAAACGAACTTTTGTAGAAACCCAAAATTTTCGACAAAAATGAGGTATTGCATGAAAAGTACAAACGTTAGAAAGTTCTAATTGGTGTTAAAAGATAGAGGAGAGTTTCCCGAACATAGTGACATGCAATTTATTAATTGTTTTTGGTCCTAAATAGCAATGAATTGATGTCAAAGTTTAAAAATGTGTCGACGTGCGCAGTTTCTCCGCAATATTTTTGTATTTTTACGAAAAGTTTTTTGTTCGGCACGAAAACTCTACCCAGGATCGGATTCTGTAGACATTTCTGAAGAAGAAACGGCCCGGTAAAAGTATCGGAACGATGTGCATTTTGAGTAGATCGAGAAAATGTTCGTCGGCAACATGTACACGATATTTTGCCATGTGCTTCGCTGCTCGCTTCTCTCTGTCCGACAGGGCCGAGGCTATGGGTAATCAACACC